TCTTTCTTTCTTTCTTTCTTTCTTTCTTTCTTTCTTTCTTTCTTTCTCTCTCTCTCTCTCTCTCGCTCTCTCACTCTCTCTCTTTCTCTTTAAGTTTTTCTTTCTCTGTCTTTCTCTCTGCAGAGGCGCGCTGTGAGCGCGCCTTTCTGGAGCGTGAGCGCGCCGTCCATAGCGCACGAGCGCACGCGCGCTCGCCCTGCTGTCTTTCTTTCTTTCTTTCTTGCTTTCTTTCTTTCTTTCTTTCTTTCTTTCTTTCTTTCTTTCTTTCTCTCTTTCTCTCTTTCTCTCTTTCTTTCTCTTCAAGTTTATCTTTCTCTGTCTTTCTCTCTGTAGAGCGCGCTCTGAGCGCGCCTTTCTGGAGCGTATGTCAGAGCGTGCGCCACAGAGCCCAGCCACAGAGTTGACAGAGTTCAGGGGCGCTGGAGGACAAGGCCTGGACACAGAGCCCAGCCACAGAGTTGACAGAGTTCATGGGGCGCGGGCAAGAGAAGGACAACAGGAGGGCAAGGCCCGGACACAGAGCCCGGCGCGGGCAAGAGGAGGACAAGAGGAGGACAACGCCTGGACACATGCCACAGAGCCCAGCCACAGAGTTGACAGAGTTCAGGGGCGCGGCCAAGAAGAGAACAAGAGCCCACAGAGACACACACCAAGACAACGCACACAGAGACAACACACACCGAGACAACGCACACAGAGATCACACACACAGAGACAACACACACCGAGACAACACACACAGAGATCACAGACACAGACACAACACACACCGAGACCACACACATACAGAGACCACACACACCGAGACAACACACACCGAGACCACACACACAGAGATCACACACACAGAGATCACATACACAGAGATCACACACAGAGACAACACAGACCGAGATCACACACACCGAGACCACACACACAGAGACGGCGCTCTCTTAGAGGGTCTGGCGGTTGCGTTGTCGCCGGTGGTCGGCTGTGGTCGCCTGTGGTCACCGCTGGTCGGCTGCGGCGCTGTCTTATTGTGAATTGCAGTAGATCTCGCTCTCTTAGAGGGTCTGGCGGTTGCGTTGTCGCCGGTGGTCGGCTGTGGTCGCCTGTGGTCGCCGCTGGTCGGCTGCGGCGCTGTCTTATTGTGAAT